GGATGCGGAGGGGAGGAGGGGACGGTCACCTTGGGAGGAGAGAGAGGAAAGCCCCGAGGACACGGCCCCTGTGGGGCTGACGACGGCTGGGGAGGGAGGGGACGGTGGGATCTCCCGGGGGGGCTCAGCCAGACCCCGAATGCCGTCAGCGATCCCAGTTTGGGGACTGGAAATTTGGGAACCGTGTTTTTTGTAACACACACACACACACACACACGTGTTTGTGCCCTCCCCGTGGAGCGGGTCAGAGGCTCAGCCTTGGGAACTGTCCCCAAGAGCCATCCAGAGCCCGTTTCAACCCCTGGAAACAGCTGGATGCCAGAGAGCCCCTCGCTCTCCCCTGCCCCAGTGACAACCGCCCACCATGCTGCAGGGGGCCGGATCCTGCACCCCCATCTAGAGACCAGAGCATCGTTCGGGGCCAGGAGCTGCCCTGGCCCCGGGTGGGTGGGAAAACCCTCCCTGGGCGGGGGACCCTTGCATGGATGGTGGGGGAGCCTCCGGCAGTGCCCAGCTCTCCGTTTTGCCTTCCCTGCTCCTTTTCCTCCTCTAGGATTTCTCAGGGGACCTGGGGGCGGGGGGTGTGTGTGCACATGGGGTGACATTTCCCCTGGGGACATGTCCCCTGTGGGACAGACGGACACATAGGGACGCCAGGAGCTCCGTCACAAAGTGTTTGGGGCCAGGCTCCCTCCGGTGTTGCTCAGACACCTTTGCTGAACTGGACTGCAAAAAGTATTGGTCCAAATCCCCCGCCTCGGGCTCGTCCCACCCAAGCATGCCCCGTTGCACCCCGGGGACAGCACATGAGCCCTGGTCCTGCACACTGCTGGCACGGTGCTGCCGTCCCGTGCTCCCCGCGCGCTGCTCGCCACCGCACAAGGTCACGCTGATGTTTTATTCATCCCCCACAATCCACTATATGCCTTAATTGCAGCCACACGCACTTTGCAAGTGTAAATAATTGCCTCGGAGGCTTAGATGCCCTTTCCCTGGAAAACCCTCCCAGCTGTCGGTGGAGGTGCTGCCCTGCCACGGGCCAGCCTCCAGCATCCAGACCCGGCCGGGGAGCCGCTCTGGCCTTAATTAAAGGTCTTTAATCACCAGGCCGGTGATGGATGGGCATCAAGCCACCGTTACCTCCCAAGCTGGGGGCTGGTGGATTCAAGACGTGCTGGAGCTGGCTGGGGGGCTCTTGGTGGACTACGAGGCTCAAGCTGGGGGGTGCAAACCAAGGCACAGGTCCCAACCCCGCTTCAGAAAGCAGTCTGTGCCGCAGAGACAGTTCACACCTTTATTGCTCTAGCTGGAGGGTTTTTTCCCACTCCTCTCCCCCTCATCCCTTCTTCTTTCCTGGGGACACAGTTCCCTCGAGCCAAGTCCATGGGTCACAGATCCCTCCGGCATCCAGCCACCCTGCCAACCAGCCAGTCTCCCTCCGTGTCCTCCCAC